AGGTTAAACCTCGTAAATTCGACTGCACGCGGTCCTTCGTACGACCATGCATCCAGCAACATAGTAACCCCAATCGATCGCCGTCGAGGCGAGTGTAAAGTGAAGTTTCTAAATGGCGGTATCTAGCGTAGGTAAAACAAACGAACAAAAAAAAAAAAGAAAACACACAAAGAATGGAAAAGCAAAAGGTTTTTTAAGCTTTCGCAGGAAGTCTGTCATAAAGTATTAAAACTCTCAGGCTGCGCCGATTGTCTTTGCCGCGTGCGTTCGTACGGCGGCCGCACGGTCGCGGAGTCGTCGTTTGGAAAATGGTGTTCAACCGGTGCGCGAGCATAGGACCATAGAGACATCCCAGTCTGTCGCTGGCGCTTCCCGCTGCGTCACCTGTCGTGCAGTTCGCAACATGGAGGAACGCGCGAGCATATTCGCCGTCTCGATAGAAGACACGTAGAGGTCGCTAGTATTCTCCGTATAATTTCGAACGATCGAACTTCGTAGCTTAACTGCGTGTGGCCTGCAAAACGAGCGATAAGTATAACCGGTGTGTCGAAAGACGAACGGGAGCACTTGACCGTGGAGTTTGTTTACTAGTAGAGCGTGCCTTATATCGATGATCCATGCAGGATCTTTTCTAGATTTCGTTTTCGACCGGACTAATTCATTTTCGAAACAAGATTCGATCGTTTCGCGTTTTATACTCGCGTATCTCGTTGAACATCATTCTCCTTTAGGTATATATATATGTATATATGTGTGCACGTGTGTATATATTAATATATATTTATCTATATACGAATATATACGTGTATATGCATATGGATATTATATATACATATATACATATATATATACAAATTGTATAATAGAAAGCAAAGAAAAATTGGGATATCCACTGCTTGCGCGTGCGATGAATTATTTCAGAGGTCGACCAGAGTACAAAGCGTAGGTTTAGTTTGGTCTCCGAAATAGTTCGTGCACGAATACGGACTGTACCAGTCGAAACGAATGTCGTCGTCGAGTGTTAGGAAACTGGTTGAAAATTGGTAATATATGATAAGTTCAAGCAAGAAATGTTATGCAGTAGCGAGTAAAAAGAGAAAAGAGAATCGGGCAAAAGGCAGAAAAATAAAGTAGCGTTAACGTTAGAGCGAATGAACCGCTGCGTTACGGTTTACAGCGTTGGGTCGACCGACCGCGACGAGTCCCGTTCTTTGGCTTCTCTTTCGTGTGTTCGACAATAAACGCTTCGTTGGAGAGAGCGACGGAAACGAACGACAACCACGAATCAATCAGCAGACAAATCAAAAGTACGTAGGCTTTAAATTGCACCGTGTCAAACGATTCTCGAAAGCTTCCTCGTCACTGTCGACCGACGCGACGTCTCGATGCTGTAATGGAGCGCACGGAACATTAATTATCGTCTAGGTAACCAAAAATTCTAATCTCATCGCGTAGCACGCCACTGCTGGGAACTAGAACTAGAACTAGATCGACGTGAACATCACTCGTCTTGATTGATGAAAAGAAAACGAAAAAAAACAAAAACACAAAACAAACTGGTCAGTAGAATGGTCTTTTTATCCCTTAGAACGAACATCTTCGCTTCGATTTTTCTTCGGGTTCTGGTAATGGCGAGCTTCGCGTTCTTCCGACAACACAGGGGTCTTAACTAATCGGTGACGACTTACTTAACGAACGTTTCTCAATTTTTAAGTCGCGCATCGGCATTTAGGTGCATACATCCTGGGGGCAAGAAGTCTATTTGATATTTATATTTTAATATACACGGGCCGATTATATTTAGTGTATTGTAATTATTGAATATTAATTGAAAGTCTCGGGGGCTGCTCGTCCAGCGATACCATGAAATCGATAATGTATAGAGTAGCGGACAAGAAGTAGAAAAAAGGAACGATCGGGATATGTTTAAGTTCGATGGACGAACAGACCACCGGGACAAGAACCACGATTTTCTGTATATTACTGTAGTATAATAATCAAACACTAAAGACTAATGCTTAAGGTGATCGATAAGAGCTTCGATGCTCTTCGAAACCGCGTAAATGTAATCGAGGAATTAAGCTATGCAACCTGAACGATTGAAAGGAAACAGAACAAGAGAAAAAAAAGAATCGAATAAATGAAAAGAAACGCAAAAAAAAAGAAAAATAATTAGACGTTTCAACTAAACGACAGAGAAAGAAAGGGAAAGGTACACGCAGCGGTACAGACGTCACTGTGTTTTAAATGATTAATAAATGCAGATGTCCGTGTATTCGCCCGGACACTTTTTTCAACTGAGTTCGCTGTCTTTTTACGGTTATATTCTTTGTCAAGCGTTGCCCTGTTTTTCGCTTTGCTTCGCGCGCACCGTTGTCGCGCATCCTGATTCCATTGCTATTCGTCCGATCGACGATTCCGTTCTAACCTCTCGTCGACGAACGATACGCGAAAATAGAAACTGCATCGTCCGTGTTCTTGCCTTCCGTACGCGTGAAAGGAAGCACGTCGCACAGTGGCATCGGTGGTCACGATTTCAAGGAACAAGCATCGCGTACATCGGGCATCGGTGTTACCGGTTACACTTCCTGCATTCTTTAGTTTCTGTCGCAATCTACGCGTGTCTCGCGTTACAGCAGGAAGAGATCGCGCGGTCCAGTCGTGTCGGTTTCAAGATGTCGAACAAGAAGATCGTTACGATAGAGATAATCCGATCGACCAGCGAGAATAGAAACAGAACGATCGATGGCGAATTTTTTCGACAATACGCACCGAACCATTCCAAGTAGCACGCAGTTCCGGAGAGAAGCTTTGAAAAAAGGGATAAGAGAAAAGAGTTCACTACGTGTGTAATTACGTACCTGTTATCACATAAGCACGAAATCAAAGCAACCGTTCGATCGAACCGAAAGAAAAATATAAAAAAGAACAAAAAAAAAGATAAAAAAATGTAACGATCAACGCGTAACATTTGATCAAAAGAGCCTCGCGTTCGTATAAGCCATAGTTGAAAACGTATTAGGGGAGAAGTGACGGCGGAGCAAACGAAACGTCCCTTTTTATAACTTTGCATCAAATTCAGCGAATCACACCGGCGAATCCTTTCTCGGAACTCGATAAAATAAACGTAGCGCGTGTTCCGTTCGCGATCTGTTTCGTCTCTGCTCTACATCTGTGCTTTTAGCGCGATACATTTCCGAACGTTTTTACGTGGTATACATACACAGACACGGCGAAAACGTGCAGCGTAGATTTTTACTAGGGGCTCGTAGAACACGTTTAAAACGTCTAAGTGTAATTCTATGATAAAGTATAAAAAGCAACAAGAATTCCGTAGCGCAAAGAACACCAACACACGTGCATACACATTCATACACTTGTACGATACTGTGTATTCTTCGACGTAAGTTTCTCGTAGTTTTTCGATCGTGTTAGTCACTAAGGTTAATCACCTGTCCTAAATAACCGACCAAAACGGACTAATGTTATCTTCCAGAAATCTATGGTAAGGAGATTGGGCGGTTCAACTATATTTCAGCTAGATTCGAGATACGAAAGGTGATCGAACGTAAACTCGTTCCGATGAGCGACCTCGTTCTAAATTCACTACAGTTTGATGGTAAAAAAAAAAAAAAAAGAAAAAATGAGAGGAAAAACACAGGAAAAATCAGTTTTCTTCACGGCATACTTTGCGTTACTAATATTCGAGAAGGAGATTTAACACGGCATACTTTGCGTTACTAATATTCGAGAAGGAGATTTACAGCTAGTTGCTTTTCAGATTGAACTACGTAGCTTCGTCTTGGAAAAAAAAACAAAAAAAGAAAATGGAAAAATAACATATCAATGTCACGGTCGTCGATACGAAAAATTTCATGTCCACACATCTCTTAAAAGTTTCTATGAGAAAAGACAGTTAAACGGTTGTATTCTTCTCCTTTCTTCGTTCATTCTTGTTCTTAATTTTTCGAAATCGCACCGTTCACCTAGATAGTACAATAAAGAGTAGAAGTTCCTCGCAAATGTGTGCTAAGTGGCGGGACTGTTTTTAATTACGAAACGCGCATTCTAAGTAATCGAAGTAGCCAAGTTACAAAGCGTAGTAGGTGTAATTAAACGAATCGAATATATTGAACTGATGTGCGGTAGTTACCAGATTTTCCAAATACAAGCTTCTGTCACGATAAATAACGATAATCGGACATCTTCGATCGACGATGAAATTGGTTCGATGCAAAAGTAGTATCTCGGACACGGAAGACGTATATACGCAGAAATGTAAGAAGTGCAGGAAGCTTTAATACACGATAAATTCGATATAGTTGCAACCCTGGCAGGATAAAAAATAAAAGGAAAAAGTAAAAAAAATGTATATACCTATATTAACGCGATTTCCCATTTGTCGTAAAGGAAGATCATTAATTTCCATTGATTTTCGGTCCAAAGTTACATTTCGTCGAAATATATGTGAATGTTTTTGAAACAAAAATATTAACCTTCCGAAAATACGTAACCATGATTTCGAATTAGATTTATACGTACAAGCATAGTCTCAACATTCGTTTATTACTAATAAAAGTTTTCGAGATATCGATAAGTTCAGTATAAACAGGAAAAAAAAATTTATTACGTACTATCTAAGCATGCGACTGAATAATCAACCTGAAATTATTGCAATATTGCGTAACATGGTAGAAGATAATAGTCAACGATTGTATAAAGAGTACGACATTTACGAGCAATGTTATATAAGTATGTGTATATATATATATAAAGTACATATATATGCGTATACTTGTAATAATTAATAAAACCAGGGTAAACATTACTATTATCTATGTGTAATATTTAAAGAGCGCCTGGAGCGCAATTCGCGCACAGCTGCTCCGTATGTCTCTGTAATAGTTATGCGTGTTTGCATTTACGAAATAGAAGAGAAAAATGTATATTATATAATATTAATACTAATAATAATAACGATAGACATGCCCGGCGACACACCTTATTGTAAATAACGGTAATAAGAACTATTAACATCCGTTTCTCAATCCGTTTAACACGTTATCCCTGTTCGTGTAAACGCGTTGAGAATCGCGAGACTTTAAAGAAAGGAAAACAAAAGATGAAACAAAGTAACGTTGCGTGTAACGTCGAAGGAAAGATCGAGAGAAGGGAAAACAAGTAACTAAGTAGACTGTCGTAGGTTTATTACTCGTTATTATTGCTCCTGCCTATTCGCAAACTTTGACTGTAATTATCTTGTAAACACGTTGGACCAAGTCGTTGTGAGCACTAGCCGTAAATTGTAGAATATCGTTCCGACGGTTTCGTGATTGTCGAAACGCTTTACTGAGTTAAACGCTCGAACAGAAATTCTGGTAGCTTGTATATCGAGGATACCAATGTCCAAGGAAGAAAACCGATCTAATAAAAGAATGTTTTGTTTTGCAGTATTAAAAATACGTCATTGAATGCACGGCATTATTCCGTAATTTTTGCGCCTATCTCACCATGTATAATCCAATATCGTGTTCCTTAAACAGATTTGTGTATACGGCCATACTACAGTATGGCTAAGGTTATGTCTAGTATTGATTTAGATTTTGAACGAACGACGAAATCTACTTCTTGTGTTCAACTCGTTAAAAATATTAGCAATTTCATTGCTATAGTATTCGAGCTTGAACACCGGGTTAATTCGTGTCAATGAGTTTCCAATCGCACCACAGGCCGACGAATATTGTGTTGCGATCGTAATTTTCAGTAATTGAACAAATCCAAACAGGGTTGGACGAGAGTGGACGAGAATACAGGCTACGAGAGGCGTTTCACTTCTTTCTATAGAGAAGTCAAACTCTGCTCGAACTTTTTTGTATTTTGTACACGCGAGGCTCACATCGACAAGGCTTGCAAAACGGGAGACTTCGTAGACCTCGAAACATTTACTAAATTTTACTATCGTGTTATCTCTTGCGAATCGCTTGATGGACTTATACAAGATTATCATGTTGGTACTTTTTGAAAAACTTAAGGAAACGAGAAGAAATACCTTTAACTTACAATTAGGTCTGAACGCAAAATTGCATACCGTTCGTTAGGCAAGATGAACATTCTTAGTAAAAGTAGCTTTTCAATGCACTCATTTCTTTCGGTAATGGCGCCGACGAAGATCACGTAAACCGTCTTCGTGTGGTAAAAAAAAAAAAGAAAAAAGAAAAAAAAAATGAAATCTAGCAAAAGCCATGGTAAGCAATTGGAAACTTATTCGTCAATACGTCAATGTTGCATTGTTTGTGTAATAACGTTAAATGGCAAGCAAATTATTACTGCCATGGTATATATGGATAGATCGATGATAATAATGTGACGATACTACTACAAAGTGAATGTTGCCTTTTATGACATTGGTTAATCGTAAATAAAGGAGGAAAACTTAATAAATTATGTACGATTGTATTAACGACGACTAATAACTATAAATACTATCTATTGTATTACGAGTACTAATAACAATTACTGTGTACAACATGGAGGTTCGTATGATTGTAAATGATATGTGTTGCGTTGATATGTAACGCGTCCCTATATGAAAATGGGGGCTGTGCAAATAAATCAACCAGACACTTTGTTGGCCTTCTATATTGCCCTGACACACAGGAATATTATATATACTTGATATGAGTCGACTGAAATGTTTTTAATAAACACTAGTGCCTCAAATGTGACAAATTTTAGTTATTTTCATTTATTTTTCGTTCACAGGTATAGTATAAATACTACATCTACTTGCACGAAGACGGAATTAACGTTCAATAAACATATGCGATTTGTACCACTTCATTCTAACAGTCGATATTTACTGGAATAAATGCGCTTCACGATACTGTTGTCAATTCATTTTTAAATACAGATGTATCCAAATCCACCATGATTGAGTAAATCAAAATACCATTAGTTACTACTAGAGCGATTATGTGAAGTTTGTGACCCGACTTCCGCATGTACGGTCGCTGTTACATCTTCCGTGGGAATGGTATTTGATGATATGTGGAAGAAATATCGCATAAATCCTATTGCTAGTAGGAGATGCATGTCAAGGATTATCATGATATACATTATCCTATACTTCCCTGAAAATTAATTTATTTTATTAATTTATTTTCATGGTTTTAAGAATTTGTAGATTTTGATATGCGATACCTGCTATTACAGGTAACATAGATCTCAATAACACTCCTCCAGATAAAAGGGTTGCCACTACAACTAAACTCCATTGTAACCATTCAATTTGAATTGTACAAAGAAAAGCTACCGGAATATAAATAGCCAAAGAATAACCATACAGGCATAAGAGTTCTAAGAGACCAGGAGTTGTATGAGTCTAAAATAAAGATGATTCTTTTAGTTTATTATACTGTGCTTTTTATAAGAGATAAATAAATAATATTGAACCTCAATTAATCCCTCCTCTGTGTTTCTTGTGCTATAGGTCCATTTTAATGCACCCCATAGTATGAGTGGCAATAACCATGCATACAAAAATATACAAGTTGCAGCATAAGATACGATATGAAATTCGTACCTCCAATGATATTTGCTTGAATTAGCTGTCTGTAAATAACCTGCCAAATTGCCACTAATAGCTATAGAAAATATTAGAGTGACACAAATCCAAAATGGACCATAAAGATCTGGATTAGGTCTGATATGGGATATTAAATAATTGTCTATTCCATGTGGGATTATAGATCTTTTGATTCTTTCTACCACATCATTTGTCTTTACATTGAAAAATTTTTGATAATACTCTATAGTCCAAAAACTATGCGATGACGTGGCTAAAAGAGAAAAAAATACGATACTGAATAACAAATACAAATATAAGTAGAAATTTTTAATGTTCACAGCACCGACGTAATAATTAACGCAATATGATACTTAGTAAATATTGTAATACCTATCGTGACAATAATAATACTAATTATAAAATTATTTAAAACTAAAGAAAAAATTATAAAAGCATAAACCTTCATCTTTATCGGGTAATCCTTGAAGATCCTCAATAATACCCATTCCCGTATTGTCATTTGAGAGGTTATTAAAACCTTGATGACTCGAAGTATTGATATCCAGTTGTGCCTGGTTAATATTTCCTTCATGATTTATCGAAGGAAAATCTTGAAACACTATAAATTGCGAATCGGTTGCTTTTGATTGACTTCCATCCATAGCTATTTATTTTGCACCTTTTCCTGTCCGTTTGACAAGGCTGGAGTATACATATTGCAACGAGGTATATATATGATACTTGCGTCGGTTGATCATCAGCCAATCGCAATTAAATGTTAGCAATTAATATTTGCTAGTACTTTTTATTATGGAATTTTCATAAATTATTAGATAAATTAAGTAAAATATATTTAAACAATATGTATATATACATGTCTATATGTGCATCGCAATAAACGTATATACAGTGTATACATACATATATATATATATGTATATATACAATAAATTTTACTTAACTGCAGCGTTACACACAATTGATATATATTTTGTTCATAATGTTGTGTATAGGAAACAAATATATTTATTAATGCTGTTTAGGCATGAATGGATAAAAATAATTTGCTATTCTTAAACGGGTTGCATAAAAATTAATAAAATGATTAACACTCTCGTGATTTAATATAAATACGTAGCTTTATGTGAAAGTACTTAATCTTATTATCGTGCCTAAGAATCTATATGCCGAAATAAATTTTAAAAAGTTACTAAATTTGATAATGTATGACTATGTAAAAACACAATATTTTTGTTATCAGTGGTGTCGATACTCTATTACCTTTTGCTGATTTTGAACAGTGGTTGCTTAGATTTTTGACAGTTGAAGGGGGATCCATTGGAATGCTTTTTTAAAATAGTTTAATACCGAACAGTATTTTTTTACTATATTAACAATGTACCCCATTCTATAAAATAAGGAAATGTAAAAAAAGGTAAAGAAATACTTCGGAATATGCTTTGTTTTTCAAGTGTGCATAATATTTTTGAACGCATTCAGATTTTAATAGTTTTATTCTTCAATTTTATAAAATTAAAAAATTATATTTTATAATAATGTTTACAAAAAAAATTACTATTTGTAAAAATATTTAAATATCAACAACTTTTTTTTTGATAGGTTAGGCGATTTACATCTTGTTTTAAAATTGTGCCCTTGTGCAGGATCTGATAGCTAGCACCTTTTTGAAAATATGTTACAACGGGCTCCTAATCATCTAAAACTTCTTCATGATATTAGCCATTATAGTAAAGAATGTTTGTACATGTTTCAAGTACGATATGCACGAAGATATACCAATACTTTGATAACGCATAACTACAATACAAGATGCAAGTTACAAATTCTTGCAAATCCTCAAAAGATTTTTGCTGCAAAAAGAATAGGGTATCCACAAGAATGGAGGTGGATCTTTATTTCAATGTCCAGGCCAATCTCTATCATAGCAAAATTACAAAAAGAAATTTCACAAGACACAAGTACAAAAGCAGAATCTGCAGTAGAACAAAAGATAATAGAATTAAAAAAAGAAAATTTAGGGCAATTAAAAGAGAGAAAATTAGATGTTAAACCTGATAATAATCAAGCTAAGGAAGGGCAACAGAATTTGAAGACAGAAGGTACAGAAGAAAATATAATCAAAAAAGTATAGTAAAAGCTGTTTTTATTGATTCAAATATTTTTTTTTTCAATCTTAATCATTTATGTTTTATCATTTTTATCGTTGCCTATATTCATAATTTTTATTATTTACAGCCAAAAAGAAATCTAAGATAGACAAAAGTGTTTCATCTCTAGAACGTAATTTTATTACACCAGTTAGAGCAATGTCTGACTTTTTGCTACAACCATCTGATCTTGAAAATTTACCAAAGACAAAAAGAAGATCACCCTATGAATATGAACCACCAATTACTGTTTATTGGTGGAAAGATGTAGAGGCTAAGTAAGCCTTATACAGTAAAATTTAGACAGATGATTATAAACATACAATTATGTTTAAGATATTGTGTTTAATTTCAGAGCAATAGAAGTCTGGGGATCAAGAGAAGCTTTATTAAAAGAACTTCTTAAGAAAGAACTTGAACGAAAGGCATATCAGCAAAGTAAGAATAATATTTTTTTCTCTTACTACATACAAAATGGTTATTTCTATGAAATATTTTTGTTTGAATAAATTAGTTATTTTTATTCCTTATAAATTTTAATCTGTTTTTGCAGGATCATGATCAGTTGCTTTATGACTATAATATATCTCTTTCATAGTGTAATTACTGTAAATCTTTAATTTAAATATTTTATCATTTCATAGACATATTTACCGTAAAACGACGATTAAGAGATTATAGACGAGAAATGGGTAATAAAACCCATGTATTCGAAGAAGAGGGTCTTTTTGGTAGATCTGGAAAAGTAGTTTTAACTGCTGTTGCAATGTAAGCTCAGCATTTTCTGTTTTTATCCAACAATTGTAATTATCTTTACATTAAATTCGTTTCTAATTCCCTGTTTAGTAATGCTTGCAACTTTTTATTCAAACTATGTGCATGGTTATATACTGGTTCACATAGTATGTTTTCAGAGTGTGTGCACTCTGCTGCAGATACTTGTAATCAGTTAATATTAGCATATGGTATTCATAAATCAGTACAAGTACGTGTGAAATTGTATTAAGATGTTCAATACCAACGTATCTTGATATTAACATACATTTCATATATTTTAGAATCCCAATCCCGACCATCCGTATGGTTATACAAATATGAGATATGTGTCTTCTTTAATATCTGGAGTTGGTATCTTTTGCGTTGGAACTGGTCTATCGGTATATCATGGTATTCACGGTATTCTTCATCCTTCGACAATAGAGTCGTTTTACTGGGCATATTTTATATTAGCTGGTTCGTTAGTATCTGAGGGTGCAACTTTGTTAGTCGCAATACAATCAATTAAAAGGGGAGCAGACGAGAAACGACAAACGTTTCAAGAATATGTATTAGCAGGACAAGATCCTTCCGTAAATGTCGTACTTACGGAAGACTTCGCAGCGGTAAGTATTTAATAGACAAAAAGAGATAATTGTTAAATATTACATATTCTTTTAAATTTGATAGGTAGTTGGTATTATATGTGCAGCTGGCTGTATGGGTTTAACTTCTTATATGGGAAATCCGATATTTGACTCTATTGGATCTCTTTTAGTCGGTGGCCTGCTCGGTGCAGTGGCTGGGTTTATAATACATACAAACGCTGGCGCTTTAATTGGTAGAAGTATTTCTCAGGAAGACCTGGATAAAATTAATGCAGAACTAGAGTCGGATATAATGGTATCATTTTAATGTTTATATTTTAATAATTGTAAGAATAAATATTTTCATTTGAATTAATTATTAATTAGGTTCGAGCAATTTATGATGTTAAGGGTATCGATATGGGTAATAATTTAGTCCGGTACAAGGCTGAATTAGATTTTGACGGGAGGGAATTAACGAGATCTTATTTGGAGAAACATGATCTTGCTCAGATGTTAAAGGTAATAGTTTAATGTTTAAAACGTATTATGTTAATTTAAAAAAAATTCCGTTTTCTAGGAAGTGCAAGCAATGAGTGACATAAAAGAATTGGAAGCATTTATATTAAAGCATGGTGAAGGTATTGTTGATATGCTTGGTGGAGAGATAGACAGAATGGAACTAAAACTGAAGGTATTCCAAAGATATTTTATATATAAATTTCTAACATTTTTTATATGATGACTTAACTGTTTCTTTTAATATTTCCAGAAAAAACATCCAGAGATTCGACATTGTGACCTGGAGATTTTATAAATGCTTCTGTACAGTAAAAAAATGTATCTAATAAATTATATACGTTCTGATGTAAATAATGTTTTATAACACTTGCGCAATATGTCAATCATATCTACTCACACATATATATATGATATATATTATTTATATATATATAGTATATTTAATCTTACTTGTAGATGAAACTAAATTAGCTAAATAAATTTGAATTTCCTATCTATCTTTATCTGATAATTTTTATTTATTTTTCTTTTAATTTTGACTCGTTCACTGGGTAAAATGTTTACATCGCATATTGTCCTAAATTATCGATTTTTTTCAAGTACTCCACGCGGCGGATTATGAGTCAACAAACCGTTACTATGGTTACTTGCCCCTACATTTATGAAGGAATTGTCGGGTGTGAAACTTCATTAGATTCTAGCGAAGTAAGCACGATTAAATATTATGTGTTCTAATCGTGATAGCAAAGGCATCGAGCGCTTTTATACTCTCGGAGAATCGGTAAAATGAATCGGTCGAATGAAAGAGTTTCAAGACGATGGAGTATGCCGGAACCGTCATGCAAAACTGATTCGAGCAACACCGAGGAGTCTTCGTCGCTTACCGACAGCACGCAGTATTCGCCATACGTGCAACACACTAGTACGCCTGTTAGACCTAGATGGTCAAATTTAGAAGAGATCAACAGGTCCCGACGGAGTCAACAAAAGATCGACGACACGGAAGAGGCATCTTCTGATAAAAGGAGGAGACTTAAAAGGATTCAGAGACATAAAGAACATGTCGTTCGCGAAAAATATCAGGATGATCACGAAAGGACCACTGAAAGACAGAAGGATCGACACAATCGTCGTGATAAACGAAGAGATAGCAGACGTTCCGAAGGCACCGTGAATAAAATCCAAGAAGATACATCCAGTTTAGAATCGTCCGAGAAGAGCTATGGCGAAAGCGAGTTGGAACGATCGAAAAGGAGAAAAAGAAATTTGACCGGTAAAAATATGTTAAACGTTCTAAACGAAAATATTAAATCACCAAATGAAACGATCTGATTTACATTGTAGGGGATAACGAATTACCCATTACGGAAATCTTAAAGAGATCGCAAGAAAATGCAAAAACCAAGTACGAACATCAGACACCATTTCCTGTATTAACCACGGATAAAATTTATGTACAACATAGGGGTGGTTTCAGTGCTATTAAAATTAATAAAAAAAAAGATCCTAGCAGTGAGAAAAAAATTGAGAGGGAAAGTAGTGTCGATAACGTTGAAGGACAAAATTCTCCACTCATAAAGGTGGCCATCATGGTTCAACAATTCGCAAAGAACACCGGTTTTTTATATCAAGGTCTCCTGGGCGGTATGGCGCTTATGCATTTTATAATAGTACGTCTATTCCTTTAATATTATTTTTAACGAGCTTCCTGACATTGTTTTTAATCTATCTAATTTTTTCTAGATTTACGCATTTTTTAATAATACCACGGAATTCCTGATAAAATATTCAACAACCGGTGAGATTTACACCAACATTTTCTCGTTTCTCGTGGCTATGTGCATCGTATCTACGTTCGATAAGTATGTTCGATACCGTAAATGGAATTCGAAACTTTTAAATACTTGTTATTCGTTAGATTCGATTTGGCACGATTCGATATGGAGCATCTACGTGAACTTTACTTCGACTACAACAGAGCAGTAATCGCAGTTCCTTTATATCTGATCGTTTTCTGCCTTCATCAAGTCGGTGCAGGGACCGACAATCATATAAATTTAATACACTATTACAATTTCAACGATTCCATTTGCCAAAACGTATGTAAAAGATAATTCACTTAGCTCGAAAACGAAAGGAAGCTTACCCTACGCTGTAATTTAATTTTAGGACACTAACGTTCAGTCTCTTTTGGACGATTTGAATAGTTGGCAGAAGATAACTATGTCGAAGGACTTACTTGCAGTGTTTGCCTGGTTGTTCGTATCTCTTGGTACGAAGGACGATTCGTTCCTCATGTACCTACAGTCGATGGAGAAGTACGCGAGTGACATCGAGTCGTCCAGTCGGTAAACGAATGGAATTCTTTCCGGGAAAGACATTTTTTTCGTCTCTTGCCAGCGTTTGAGGTTAGGAAACGCGGCGATTACGATTTTATTGTTTATTCGTAACAGAATAGGGTCTGATATGTACAATATTTATAAAGTTCTAGACTCTAACAGACAGTACACGTACACGTAATATCAATAAAGACAATAACATTGAGAATAAAATAACATATGGCGCGACTGTGTTTGCAATAGTAAAATATGTCATTAGACTTTGTCTTGAGCGCGGCACCAAGTTGAATCAACGATTGCGCAACGGAATTCTGTGCTTTTTAATCAAATAACGGTGGAATAGCAAGTTCCATTGAACGAAGATAAACGATGTACGAAGATAAACGATACAAATGCGTCGAATGTTTCCTTGGCATGTCGGTGCAAGGACATTCTCGCGTGCAATCGTCGATACAACGCGAGCTCTCGTTGTACGACAAACTTTGCTATAAATAGTGTGCGAAGGCTCGTATTGATCTGCGAAGCAACAGATAAATATATATATATTTATATTTATATATATTATATTATCATATAATATATATATCATACGTGAATAAATACTGTACGTACATTTACAATGCTAACGGCTTTCTCTGCACGAATTTACATCGGCGATAATTTAAAATATTTCTCGACTTAACGCTAACTCTCGTCAAGGCACTGTTTACAGTTCTGTCCGAGCTCTCGATTCGCCGATTTCGCATCGTTCCCTCGCGCGAAGGAATCGACGCACGTTCCCGATCTTTCCCGCAAGGCAGGCGATCCCCGAGATCGGACTCGCCTCGTCGAATAAATAAAGGGTATAAAATCGTTTTTACGATCGTGGAAGAAAACCCGGGAACGCGGTTGACTCCCATAGAACAGCGGGGAACGATCGTCTCGCGATCGCTCGAACAATCGGATCTCTCGTTTCTCTCTCGTGTTTCGCTTTTGTTTTTATTTTTGGTGAAAAAGCAGGACGATAGAATGGTCCGTTTGATCGACAAATGGGGACTGCTTTGGCCCCAAGGAAACCAGCTAAGAACGCTAAGCTCGCTCCTTCGTACGTGCAGCCCGTGTGTATATACCTTTAGAAACATTTGTGCGGATTCGTTACGGCAGTATTCGAAGAGACAGCGTGATTTGTACGAGCGGAAGAACGTCGCTGACAGTGAAACCGAGTACGTTCGACGTAGCAGAGATCACTTGTCGCGAGTGAACGGGGCATCGTGATGGATGCTGTTCCGTTATAAAAAGAAGAACACCTTCGTCTCTTCCCCGAGTGAAAGAGAAATGGCGTACATACAACTTTGGCTCAGAGCACGAGCTCCTCGCGTTCCGAATAAACACGTTCGAAAGGGGGTATTCGTTAAAAGATTTTTCTCTAAAATTGTCATGGGTCTCGTAAGAGCACGAGGATAGTGACGCCCGGGCAGTGGTCGAGGATTAATCGAGATTCACCTGGCCGAGGGACACAAGTATTTCCATCCGCTTCTCGACCGATTAAACACGCGAAAGGGGAGTCTCTTCGAGACGAATCCTCGAACGAATGGAAACGAGACTTCGCCTCTTATAGTTTCTATATCGAATCTCGATAGCTTTGCCTCGCCTCTCGTCTCGTTCCTTTCGTCGAACCTCGCGGAAGGAAAAGAAAGAGCCGTTTCGACTTTGAAGACTATCGTGGCGAGGAAGATCATCACGGTGACCTGAACGCCAACGCACTGCTTCTCTCATTTTTTCTTTCCCTTTTCCTCCCTTTTCCCCGCCTCGTTCCCTCTTCTGAGCCTTTTGTAGTCTCTCGGGAGAAGGGACAGAATAGGAGAGAAATTCCAAGAGCTCCCCCTCGAGGGGTTAGAGGAAATTCAGCGTCAGAAACGGAGGAAATCCTGAATGGCGAACGTCGGAGGAAGGATTTCCTCTTCTCCACGGCCGCTCCTCTTCTTTCCCTTCCAGCCCAACGATCAAACGGCTCCAACGCCGTTCTGCATGTATCTGCACCAGGAACGGCCGTTGTTGTTGCTCTCGCGGACTTGAAGCAATTCTCAGTCGTCGAAGTCGTGCCTGAGCTTTATGTAGAGGCACGAGCCGAGCACGATGCCGAACAACTCGAGCACCGATAGTCCCAGGCCCACTGCACCTAGGATGATCAGATGCTCCTTGGTCGTCTCTAGAAACTTGTAGATGCAACCCTGAACAGAATGATTTTCGTTCAACGATTAAAATTAAACAGTTTCTAAGGTACGATGAGTCCGAAGTTGATTATCGGTATACTTAACGATATGCTATCGTCACATCGTCATTCGAGCAGTCTTTGATATATTTTAAATCAATTTCAGACGAATTTTCACTCGAAGAGACGAACTATTCGATTAACCCTTTGACTACGGCAGACTTTGAAACGCACCGGTCGTACCAGACGGGTAGGAATTCGTTTACAATGTCCGCCGAGAACGGCAAAATTTTGGGTAGAGGTGCGCCCTCCGTGTCAGAAAAGCAAACTGTGTCGAGCGCTTATATGCGCCCTCCGTGTCACAAAAGCAAACTGTGTTGAGCGCTTATATGCGTCCATAGTAGCCAAGGGGTTAATGATGCAACTAGACAACTTCGATGCAAGTGTCATAGTGATTTTTGATTATATTTTTGATATTCGATGACTATTGGTATACAACAAGCACTCGATACCAAAGGATGATGACTATACTCGGTCATCTCTAAATACGAAGCTACTTGTTCTCCATTTTCCATTTAAACGGTGTGCAAAAATGGAAAATGGAGTCGTGGGACCGACACCAGCCTGGTCCTTTGACTTAGTGAACGTCTGTGACTGAAGATCGACTTATCGTCTAACTTTCCGCCATTCAGCCATTTTCTTTGACCGCGGCTCGAATTGTCGAGGAACAAATGAAAAGAAAGCCTCGATAACGAGATATCTTTGAAAGCCTGTATCTCCGAGGCTGCAAGGAAGGCTTCAATTGGAATCCCGAATGGATCTGAATTGGAAGCTCGCGCCGTTTCGAATCGGGGATGCAGAATTGGCATGGACTGGAAATCGATCGGTACCGTGTAATGGATGTTCGACGGGTGATCTCTCCTTCCGCAAAGGTACGTCGGTGTCTTGCAACAACTATCGGGAACCAGGCTCCCGTCATTCACCACTTCCTCGTGCTTGTGCCATTCGCTGTGCAGCCAGTCCTCGAATCTCAGGGCTCCGCAGCATTTGAACTGGAACATCGATTCGGGAATAAAATAACCGTAAATAAATACACGAGTCTACTCATCAACCGACGGATCTCTACGAGCACTCTACGAAAACTATACAAGCACCCTACGAGAATTATACAAGAACCCTGTAAGAATTCTGCGATAAGTCTACGAACACTCTACGAGAATTCTATAAGAACTCTACGATAACATCGAGAACTCTACGATAACTGTACGATAACATCGAGAACTCTACGATAACTCTGTGAGAATACTTCCAGAACTCTACGATAACTGTACGATAACATCGAGAACTCTACGATAACTCTGTGAGAATACTTCCAGTACTCTACGATAACTGTACGATAACATCGAGAACTCTACGATAACTCTGTGAGAACTGTACGATAACTCTACGAGAACTGTACGAGAATTGTACAAAAACTCTACTAGAACTCTATGAGAACTGTACGATAACTCTACGAAAACTCTACTAGAACTCTACTAGGACTCTACGAGAACTGTACGAAAACTCTATTAGAACTCCCTGAGAGCTGTACGAGAACTCTATTAGAACTCTGTGAGAGCTGTATGATAACTCTACGAGAACTGTACGAGAACTCTACGAAAACTCTACTAGAACTCCGTGAGAACTGTACGGTAACTCTAAGAGAATTGTACGAGAGCTCTACGATAACTCTACGATAACTCTACGATAACACTAGGAAAATTGTACGATAACTCTACGATAACTGCACGATAACTCTACGAAAACTGTGCGATAACTCTACGATAACTCTACGATAACTCTACGATAACCCCACGAGAATTGTACAAGAACTCTACTAGATCTCTGCGAGAACTCTGCAAGAATTCTACGAGAACTCTACGAGAACTCTGCGAGAACTCTACGATAACTCTACTAGAACTCTACGATAACTCTCCAACGAGTGTCGTCGACTACAGTCAGAACCCGAGGACAGTCGCTTCTTCTCGTCATCAGTTATGACAAGTCAGTGCGCGTCGATTAGGAGCCAATAGGTTTTCTCTCGTACTGGGAACAAAGAAACTGGAAGAGGAAAAGTCGAAAAATCGGCGAAAGGAGCCGCGGTTGTGTTAATCGGTTCGCGGAGGACGAGTCGGGGCCATTTGGCCAAGCGATAACGATGATTTGCCGCCGTAAACGCAGCAACGAAGTAAGTTGCGCGTAGAGGTCTAGAGAAAAATGGCCCGGCGATATCTCGGCCGTGTAAGGTAGCCGGCAGCCATTTCGCGTGCGACGAAACTTAACGACGTCCTCCGTTGCGTTAAGAGATAGCGGCGAAGCGGGCGGGAAAAAGGTGGAAGACGAAAGGAAGATCGTTCCGGAGAACTCGTACGGATATCCCCGTAAAGCGTTTCGTTTGCAGAGAAACGACCATCGACGTCGATAAAGAACCCCCAATCCTTTGCGGTCCTGTATCGAGTTCTGCTCCACGTCCCACCATATTGCGCCTATTTCGGCACTTCCATACGCGAGTTCTCTGGTACAGAAATGGCAAAGAATGGAAAAAATCGAGGAAAAGAGAGGAATAACTATGACAACTACCTTACACTCACTATCGAAGGAATTACGAAAAAATTCGAGGTTTCTCGAGACCTTTTTCAACCCCTTTAACACTAGAACTACCGATCTTTAATGGGTACCTAACAATAACGTGCACAGATTATAGTTATTTCAGCAGTACGATGAATATGAGTGAATATATCGATTACAGTTCTCTCTTTTCTATTAGTTGATACCAATTTTATTTTTAAAGCAAGTGTATGTGTTCGGTGATTGCAAAAAGGAAAATTCTGGGACCAGTCATTTTGACTGGGCTGGTAGTTCTAGCGTTAACGCTACGACTATCATGGTGATCAAAATAACTTGTTCTATTTTAGATTCGCGATTGCTGAAAGTATGCAGCTGCGTTTGGTAAAAATTGCGTCGATTTTTGTTCCAATAGGGTTGAAGGTACCATACATCCTATCAATAAGTATGGAGTGTACCATAGTTCACGTAGTCCTTGGCAGAAGGATTCTAGGACGATTCCTGCAAGTGACTCGATGAACCCTCCGCGTTTTATAAATAAAAATTCCAAATTTCCCTATAATAGTCCCCTAGTAAGGCCTGGACGAAACTCATCTCTTGTTTTTCCAACGTCCCTTCCAGCACCCCATCAACACAGAGGGTACCTGCCTGACTAGCTGACTTCGTTAACCGTGGAGGAGGATCCCCACAGAGGTAAACTACAAGTGAAATATTGAAACGAAATACGCCTGATTTTATTTTTCTATTTCAGCATAAATCGTGTCCTCGAGCTCAGAAGAATTAAAGAAAAGCTTCCAACTGTCGTATCTTCACAGCGAAAAAATCTTCGAGTGCAAAGGGGTAAGTAACGAATACTATGCAATAACTAGGTGAAGCATTGAAATGAAATACACGTGATTTCCTTTTTCTATTTCAGCCTACATGATGTCCCTGAGCTCAGAAAAATGAAGGAAAAGCTTCCAATTGTCGTATCTTTACAGCGAAAAAATCTTCCAATGCAAAGTAACGAATACTAGGAAATAACTAGATCAGAAGCAACTATAGGTGAAGCATTGAAACGAAATACATGTCATTTCCTTTTTCTATTTCAGCCTAAATGGTGTCCCCGAGCTCAGAAAAATGAGAGAAGAGCTTCCAATTGTCGTATCTTGACAGCGAAAAAATCTTCCAGTGCAAAGGGTTAAAACTGTCACTATTTCCTAACGACAAACGATCGCAAACTCGAGGAGGCTTCCGCGTTAAATTCCCAAACGAGCAATGATTCTTCCGCTCGCTTTACGAGGTCCTGTTTCACCCGTGCTCACCTCCATCTGCATCTGGTTGATCGCCGAAGTTTCCCTGCTCCTCATGGAATAGTACTCGAGGAAGGTGCGATTAAGATTCATCGTCAATTCAGGACCGACCTGTTCCTCGTACAGCCGCGCCAGGGCACCGACTCCAGCTTCCAGAACGAACACCAGCATCACCACGAACACGTACTGCAAAGAAAAGCAGCATCGAATTAGGGAAATTCGACAAAATTTTACTCTCCTGGTGGTTAAAGTAATCGCTTAGGACTTGTTCAATACTTTGCACTCGAGAGGCGCCATTTGACAAAATTTCGAAGATCGATATTAATTAATACGTCAAATTTAAGATAAATCCAATAATTTGTACATGTTAATTATTATACGATTTCTTATCTACTGTTCAGAAAATAGCAGAAAATATTTGAACTCCTACTGTTCGTTAGCCAAAAAATCGTTGAGTGCAAAGGGTTAAGGGAAAATTCAGAAGTCGAGGAAGTCGAAGATTCACTGGGAAAATTGTGCAAAGTGAACTTTGAAGCTTGGATAACGATACTAGTGTTTGAAAATGGCATTAGATAGTCATCGCGAATTAGGTTTTTGTACAGACATAAGTCAAATCTAAATCTACCACTATCAGTAAGGAAGATTGACTGGGAAAATTGTGCAAAATGAACTTTGAAGCTTGGATAACGATACTAGTGTTTGAAAATGGCATTAGATAGTCATCGCGAATTAGGTTTTTGTACAGACATAAGTCAAATCTAAATCTACCACTATCAGTAAGGAAGATTGACTGGGAAACTTGTGCAAAGTCGACTCTGAGGCTTGGGTAACCATACTATTGTTTCAAAAATGGCACTAGATAGGTACTAGATCATCGCGAATTTGTTTCTTAAATAAAATCCATCAAGATTAGTTAACAAACTTATAGATGGGAAATGAAGGGAGAAGTTAAAAAGGATGGAATAAGAGAATATTGAAAAATTCACGATACGTATGAATACGTAAAAGAAAAATAATGCTGGATACAGAATTTTTAATAGAAAATTTGGAAATTGTTATTTATACTGTATCATGGTCAGTGTTGGGCACGAATAGAGTAAGAGTATTAACAAATAGACTGCATTGTCGTATCAATACTAAATTTACCAAAATCCAAATGACCATTTCAAAATCTTTTGCTTAAAATTCCATATACGTATTTTCGTATACCACGAAAAGATAAATAAATAATTAATTTTTTAATAATTCTTATTCCTTCTTTCGTGTAACTGTCATGTAATCAGACAGCAGTAGATTAATTATATCTATCATTATAATATTTGTCTTTTCGCTTTCGCGGTAATTTTAGACTTAAATATTATATTTTTAACAAAATTATCCATACGTAGTTATGGATAATCAATGAAATGGGAACATTATCAACGTTAATCGATATCGCTTTAATTACGCTGGTATTTTAATTTCTAATGTCAATTATAGTCATTTCTCCATTATTTTCCTTTCCTTTATAGATATATCGTAGCCATATACGAGCATAGTTCAATAATCCGGCATATTTGATGAGCCGGCATTACAGAATTATCGAGCACGTCGGATTATTGGAATTCTCCTGTAAATCTCGCAGGACAGATCGTATCGATGCACTGTATTACGAATAAATAATCTTTAAAGGGCGAACGTTCGGATTCCAACGTTTCGCAGAACCTTCCCGTTTTCCTTTCACGGAACATCGCCATTTTGGAGTGATTAACGGAACGCTACGAAGATTCGTGTCCCTGGAAGCAACTCTCGTTCCTCCCACGATCTCGATGATCCCGATCGCGATCATCAGCCGCTAACGACTTCCGTGTCTCCAAAAGCGGAAAATCGTGGCTGATGCGAGTCGAGGATCGCGTAAATTCTGAGCCGGAGCTTCCACTTTTGTCCAGCAGCACCGTTAATACTGATCGAGAGGATAGATAGATCGATCTATCTCTTCCTGGATGAAAATGCGAATTTATCCCACGCGTTGGCTTTTCCGTATTTGCAAACGATCGAGTTTTCAGAGTCAACTTCTCGTAGTAATAGAGTTCTCGTGTCGAAATTTTCAGACGATCGAGTTTTCAGAGTCGATGTTTTCGTAATAATAGAGTTCTCGTGTCGATATTTTAAGACGATCGAGTTTTCAGGGTCGATTTCTCGTAGTTACAGAGTTCTCGTGTCGATATTTTGAAACGAATGAATTTTCAGGGTCGATTTCTCGTAGTTATAGAGTTCTCGTGTCGAAATTTTCAGACGATCGAGTTTTCAGAGTCGATGTTTTCGTAATAATAGAGTTCTCGTGTCGACATTTTGAGACGATCGATTTTTAAGAGTCGATGTTTTCGCAGTAATAGAGTTCTTATGTCGACATTTTAAGACGATCGAGTTTCCAGAGTCGATTTCTCGTAGCGATAGAGTTCTCGTGTCGATATTTTGAGATGATCGAGTTTTCAGAGTCGATTTCTCGTAGTTATAGAGTTCTCGTGTCGATATTTTAAGACGATCGAGTTTTGAGCCGATGTTTTCTGTAATAATAGAGTTCTCGTGTCGATATTTTGAGACGATAGATTTTTAAGAGTCCATGTTTTCGCAGTAATAGAGTTCTTATGTTGACATTTTAAGACGATCGAGTTTCCAGAGTCGATTTCTCGTAGTTATAGAGTTCTTGTGTCGATATTTTAAGACGATCGAGTTTTGAGCCGATGTTTTCTGTAATAATAGAGTTCTTATGTTGACATTTTAAGACGATCGAGTTTCCAGAGTCGATTTCTCGTAGTGATAGAGTTCCCGTGTCGATATTTTGAAACGAATGAATTTTCAGGGTCGATTTCTCGTAGTTATAGAGTTCTCGTGTCGATATTTTGAAACGAATGAATTTTCAGGGTCGATTTCTCGTAGTTATAGAGTTCTCGTGTCGAAATTTTCAGACGATCGAGTTTTCAGAGTCGATGTTTTCGTAATAATAGAGTTCTCGTGTCGACATTTTGAGACGATCGATTTTTAAGAGTCGATGTTTTCGCAGTAATAGAGTTCTTATGTCGACATTTTAAGACGATCGAGTTTCCAGAGTCGATTTCTCGTAGCGATAGAGTTCTCGTGTCGATATTTTGAGATGATCGAGTTTTCAGAGTCGATTTCTCGTAGTTATAGAGTTCTCGTGTCGATATTTTAAGACGATCGAGTTTTGAGCCGATGTTTTCTGTAATAATAGAGTTCTCGTGTCGATATTTTGAGACGATAGATTTTTAAGAGTCCATGTTTTCGCAGTAATAGAGTTCTTATGTTGACATTTTAAGACGATCGAGTTTCCAGAGTCGATTTCTCGTAGTTATAGAGTTCTTGTGTCGATATTTTAAGACGATCGAGTTTTTAGTCGATGTTTTCGTAATAATAGAGTTCTCGTGTCGACATTTTGAGACGATAGATTTTTAAGAGTCCATGTTTTCGCAGTAATAGAGTTCTTATGTTGACATTTTAAGACGATCGAGTTTCCAGAGTCGATTTCTCGTAGTTATAGAGTTCCCGTGTCGATATTTTGAAACGAATGAATTTTCAGGGTCGATTTCTCGTAGTTATAGAGTTCTCGTGTCGACATTTTAAGACAATCGAGTTTCCAGAGTCGATTACTCGCAGAGACAGAGTTCTCGTGTTTAAAAATTTCGAAATGATCGAGATCTCAGTGTTGACTTCCGTGCAAATACACAGTTTTCTGCGTCGATGTTCCGAAACGATTGGATTTTCCGTGTCGATTTCCCGAGATCAAAGTATAATCAGCCTTTTAGCGTCGAATTTCTGAAACGATCGAATTTTTAACGTTGCATTCACAGGGTAATCAATTTTGGATATTAAATTCCGGAACCGATCAAATTTTTAACGGTGAATTCCAAAAACCATCGAACTTTCACCTTCGGCTTTTCGAAACGATCCGAGTTTTCAGCGTTGCATTCGCAGGGTGATTAATTTTCGGTATCAAATTCCCGAATCGATCGAATTTTTCACGGTGAATTCCCAAAACCATCGAATTTTCAACGTCGGCTTCTCGAAACGAATTAATGACAGCAAGCAACAGCGGCTCGTTGTCGTGTCCGACCAATGAAAACGTGTTCGGTAACCTGTTTCCTTTCCGTCTCCTGTCGCGATGAATTATGCCACGCTTGTCAACAGCCGACTGGCACGCGACGAATAAATCGAGTTTCCCTAATTTGCAGGCAAATTGCTAGCGTTCTAGCTAATTTACTCCTCTTTCAACCGTTCTCGCACGGCATCAGACCTCCTGCCTCTCCGACACGTCGATCATTCTCCAAAATCGAGAAATAAAAATCAGAAAAAGGTAGAAAAATTGCAAGGAACAACTGAATATCGAAGTTCCAATTTCCGAAATAGAACTTCCACTCGGAATTTAGATCGCGAATGCATTTCGGCGCGGAAGGGGAGTGCACACGGGGGGTTGCCGATCCGATCCGCGACGATGACACCCCAAGGAAGATGGTTTCGGGGAATAAAGTTTCTTCGCAACGGAATCCGACGTGGTACGTGTTAGAGCCGCAAAACGCTGCGCGAAGCGTTTTAGAATTTTCATGAATATAAATCCTGGACGCGTCGACGACCTACCCGCATGAATATTCAGACCGCGAGGAACTGGCCACGGTCGATCGTTTGGACGAAAAAGTTTCCAGCGAATCGCTGAGCTAGGAGCAACTCCGTCCGTGACTCGCGAAACTCCGGCATTTTCCATCCCAAATCGCACCCTCTTTCCGCAATCTTCACGGGGTACACGGGACCATTCGTAGTAAGGAAAACGAAGGATTCTTTTGTCAGTTTGATCCTTCGATTTTGGGCTCCTTCACGATTTGAGGCCGTTCGACTTCTCTCGTCGCGATTGCTATATCGTCCTGTCAATGTAAATTGTCAATTACAATTGTAAAATTCGACTCCATTCGATTTTATTCGCCTCGAATGCCACATTGACCTGTCAACGTAATTTGATAATTAGAATTGTGGGAATGAGTCTTCGACATAGGTGGCGCTTTCCATTCCAAATTGCACCCTTTTTCAGTTTGATCCTTCGATTTCAGGTTCCTCTGCGATTTGAAATCGTACGATTTTTCTCATCGCGATTGCTATATCGACCTGTCAACGTAAATTAACAATTACATTTGTAAAATTCGACTCCATTCGATTTTACTCGTCTCGAATGCCACATTTACCTGTCAACGTAATTTGACAATTAGAATTGTGGGAATGAGTCTTCGACATAGGTGGCGCT